TTAGTAATTCTGCTTCACCGGCGGGCGGCAGCCTCGCCTTGGCCGCCCGCCGGACCTCTACACATGCCTTCACTCCCTCTCTCTCTCTCTCTGCAAGTTCAACCAACCTCCATGACTCTTCTAGCTCGAAACTCACATCGAATGGCCCTAGTCGCATCACAGAGATCAGCAACGATCCACACAACCCTCCTATCACTGGCTCCGCCATCACCGTCGCCGTCTCATGTTGCTTTGGAATGCACTCTTCAGTCACATCCAAATATGGTTATTCTTGGTGAGGAGGTGTCTGTGTCAAAGCTCACTCTTTTTGACTTGACAAAACAAATTTGTGATGCAGTACAAGCCAGGGCAAACCAAAAAAAGTACCATGGAGTCATTCTGCTACCAAAGGGGCTTATTGAAAGCATTCCTGAAGTGTATGCTTTCTTGCAGGAAATTCATGGTTTGCTCAGCCAAGGTGTTTCCGTTGATAGTATTTCTTCTCATCTATCGCCCTGGGCGTCTGCCTTGTTGGAGTTTATGCCACCCTTTATTAGAAAATTCTCAACGTTGTAATTGCTCTTTGCTGAAATCTCATAGTATTGCAAGTTCTTTTTCCTATGGAAAGTAACTTGCTTTGCCTTCACTTACCTGTTCTTCACATCACCCTTGTTTCCGCAAAGCACAATTGGAATATTCTCCCACACCCTGCAGAGATCCCAGTGCCATGTGGGAACATTCTTGTAAGTCACTCGGGCAGTCACATCAAACATGATGATGGCACATTGTCCATGGATATAGTGGCCATCCCTAAGGCCACCGCATTTCTCCTGCCCTGCTGTGTCCCAGCAATAAAACCTAATTTTTCCACAGTTGGTGAAGAAATCCAGAGGATGAACTTCCACGCCAATGGTTGGCTCATATTTCTTCTCACATTCACCAGTAAGATGTCTCTTCACAAATGTCGTTTTCCCTGTTCCACCATCACCAACAATTACAAGCTTGAAACTGGGATAATCAACAGTCTGCTGATTTGGCAAAGCCATTGATGCCGTCTGAGACTTGGCCGAGTCGATGATAGAGAGAGAGAGAGAGAGAGTGGGTAGTATGATGAAAGGAGGAGACACAGCACATGGAGGGGACACAAACAGCAGAGGCGATGAACAAAATAAAATAAAATAAAAACATATCAACACACACAACACTTGCTTTCTTTCTTTCTTTATTTCTTTCTTTTCATTCCTTTATTTATTTATTTGTTTTGTTCATCCACCGCCCACATCCCTCACTTTCTTTAAACCCACTTTTATTTTATTATCTACTTCACATACCCACCATGCTCCCTTTCTTTTTATTTTTTATTATCCACCCACTCTTCCTTTATTTAAACATACAGCTTTGATTTTTTATTATCCACCCACTTTTCTTTTATTTTTTATTCTCCACCCACTCTTCCAAATCCATGTGATGTTGCCTCACTCTTGATTCTCACTCTTTCTTTTGTCAGACTCCTCTCCCCCCACCATGTGCTGTTGCCAGCACCCATTCTAGAATATATATCTATTTAAAAAAAAAACAAAAACAAAAAAAAACAAAAAAAAAATATTGTTTTTTATCTCTTTTTTTTTTCTTTTTATTATTCAACAAAACAACATCATCAAAATAACACCACATACATTCTACAATCTTATCATTTCTTCATGCCGGGGATCAACCCCGATCAGCATTTTACACCAAAAAAAAAAAAACAAAACAAAACAAAACAAAACAAAACACACCAAAACAACCACACATCACAGGCGGGATTTTTCCTCTCTACTCTGCCGCCGGTCTCTTCTTCTTGCCTCCGTCCTGGCCGGCCCTTGACGGTGTTGCCTCCGTGCTTCCTAGACCACCAAGCAAGTTGCCTCCTCCCTGCTCCTCCACTACAGCATATGGTGGACCTCCAAATCGGAACATCACGGTGGCCTTCCGCTTCAGCTCCTTGTTTTCTGTCTTTAGCACACTTATCTCTGGGACCTCCAAATCGGAACATCACGATAGCCTTCCGCTTCAGCTCCTTGTTTTCTGCCTTTAGCACACTTATCTCTGCTCGCGCATCCTTATACATGCGTTGGAGCAGAGCCAGCTGGGAGTTTAACTGTTGCACTTCATTTGTCCTGCTCTGCAGCCGGTGCGACAAGTTTGTGACCGCCGTCATGGTTTCCACACATGACTTCAGAGTATACTGATTGGCCTCAATATCAGTTTGCACCGCCATTTTTTGCTCCACTGACCGCATCGGAAAGTTCAAAGGAGCAAACCCAGAAGTGTTTGGTTGGGGTTCACTGGCCACCGCACCAGTTATTTCTCTTATGGACTCGTTCAGTTCTGGAAAGAGCGTAAGCAGACCACGGGAAGAGGAGGCCATGTTCTGGGTAGCTGGACGGGAAGAAGATGCCATGTTATGGTTGCTGAGTGTTTCAGAGATGGGTTGGTTACAGAGTGTTTACAGAGTGTTACCAGTGTATCTCTCTCAGCCCACGAAGAGTTTTTCAGAGGTTTCAGACTGGTTTGATTTCCACATGTTCTCTCAGCCTCCGCCTTCATTTATATAGCACATGACGAAGAGGCCGACACGCGCACTGTCGATCACGTGCATCGCCGCGTGTCTGGCGCGCCTTTTGATGGCACGTCTTTTTATGGATTGGGCACGCCTTTTGATGGCACGCCTTTTTATGGATTGGGCACGTCTTTTGATGGCACGCCTTTTTTGAAAGATTGGGCACACCTTTTTGAGGGTGCGACTTCATGGGTCCGACAAGACTCTATAAACTGTCCCGACATTGATTCCGGTTAGCTCCTTTATGGGTCCGACAAGACTCTGTAAACTGTCCCGACATTGATTCCGGTTAGTTTCTACAAGGGTCCAGCAAGACTCCGTAAACTGTCACAACGTTGTCTGTCACAACCTTGTCTGCTACAACGGTCCGACATGACCCCATAAACTGTCTTCTACATCGGTCTGACACCGCCATCCAGTGTCCTCTACACCGTTATGACACCACCATATAGTGTCCTCTACAATATTATGACACCCCCATACAGTGTCCTCTACAACGTTATGACACCACCATCCAGTGTCTTCACCAATGGTCTGACACGACCATACAATGTCTCCTATCCTCTTTTATTTTTTAACCAATGGTCTGACACGACCATACAGTGTCTCTTATCCTCTTTTATTTTTATGTATTTTCTTGTTTTTTAACTCTCTCCAAACTCAAGTTGGCTAGTTCCTATCCCCCTTGAGTTTGCGGGGGGCTGTTAAAACCTATCACCTACTTCACCCACTTAAACCTAACCCACTGCACCACTACCACCTCACCTACTCCACTAAACCTAACCCACTACACCACTACCACCTCCACTTCACCTACTCCTTACCTACTACACACTCACCCTCTTCTATATATAGGAATCATGAATCATTGTAATAAATATAACATTATATCAATACATCAATAAATAATACATCAATTCTAATTCTCTATTTCTCTTTATACATTAATTTCAACATAGAGAATTTCTTGAGACATAGTTCTTATTGGCACTAGCTTCCTGTTGTCCAAGGTCTTTACAGCCTTCCTTTACCTCTTATCTGCTTCAAAAGTTTGGTTATTTTCTTGGTGCTCTTTGTAATAGCTTTATTTTTAATATGGTATCATCCTAGAACTTCAAAAAGGCATGCTTACCATCATCATTGGCCACCTGATCAACTCTTCTTTGGATCAGCTTTCGTTGTGGAGCTAAATGGTGATTTATTTTTTATTATGCAGACTTGTTATAGGTTTTGCATGTACCACACTAAGCTTTGTATCCCACTCAAGTGGGATCTGCTAAGGTGTTGCATGTGATGTCTCTAAATGTTGGACTTTTTCTATAACCTCATCCTAGCTAGGCTTCTGGGAATGTACATAAATGGACACAGTAACAGTTTCCAAAAAGGTGTAAGCTTTACATTGACATGGAAAGAAATCAGTCAACTATAAAAACTGGAAATCTTGAATTGGAACCCCCACTGTATCTAGATCCTTGCAAGTATTTTTGTACATAATAGAATGATGAATAACTACTAGTTCTGACAATTTTAAATTTTCTTTCGAAATTGGATATTGGATGGGAGATTTGTGTATTAACTGCATGTAACTAGAAATCCATCTTGAGAAAAGGATGGGGACGAAACTATAGTATGGGAAGCATATCCTATAACTATGTTAGTGTTAATATCATTTCAGACAGATGTTGGTTATATTTGAAAGCAGTCTGTGATAGAAAACATTACCTTATTTGGTCCTATTCTTCATTGCATTTTGGGGTGTACTTGAATGGCTTTAGGGCACTAAAAATTAAGGTTGTGTTTGATTAAGCTTTCCGAACTCAATTCCACCTCTTGGTTTGTGCCATGTGTTTGGTTACAGTTTTCAAAAATTGATTCCACACCCATCTGTGAAAACACATCTACCCAGTCATCCTCCCGGGCGTCCGGCTGGTTGACCAGAACAGTGTTCATTTTTTTTCTTTGGCACCTGTTATTTTAATATTTTAAATAATAAATATATTCCGATTTCTTTTAAAAAAATTTATGAGCTTTGAATAGGATTTTGGGTTGTGTGTTTGGTTATGAGTTGTAAATTTTTGAATAAAATATCATGTCACATCAAAAATTTTAAACTCAATTCAAAACTCTTTTCAAAACTCATAACTAAACAAATTTTCCACACTCAAATCATAATTCCAAAACTCACAAACTCAAAATACAAATTTATTCTCAAATCATAATTCTAAAACTCTACCAAACACTGCCTAAATTTCTCTATTTGGTTCGCAATAGGATAAATAGTTTATGAGGGTTTCAAATTATGGCAAATTAAATTCATCTTTTAAAGGTTATGACTTGGAGCAATGGCTAGTGCTATCTGCTCCCAACACCGTGGTGTGGCTTCAAGTCATTAGAATCAACCTCTTCACATGAACGGGCTAGATGGCTGCCTACTTACCAATTCTCCCAGAGCCTATTGTAAGTGTGAGCACGGAAGCCTTATGCACCAAGTACGACAACAACCACCATGGTTTTGACATTTAGGCTATGTTACATAGACTCGGGTATGGGTGTCAGGTGTGGGTGTGTATCCAGAGGTTGGACTCATAAAATTATAAATTTAAGGGTACGCAGACTCGGCAAAAAAATGCTAGATTTTTATAAATTAATGAAGTATATGAGATAAAATGGTGTTATGTGTAACTTACAGTGTCAAAAAGATATTTATAGCAATTATGCAACAATATGTACATATAATAATAGTGTTATATACAATTATATAAGAAGGATCCGTTGAAAAGTATCCGACACATATCCCATACCCTAATCCGAGTGTCGCATGTCCGACACGAGTATTTGATTTATTTTGAAGAGTCCGTGTAACATAGCATTTAGGTATCAATGAGCAAGTGAGCAGTGGAATAATGTTTTCCTTATTGAATTAAATTAAGCCATAACTTAGTCATTTAAGTTTGTTAGTCCTGTTAGTTTCTTTTTCTTGGCTACACTTAACATATTATTTTGTTTTCAAAATTCTTGTATTCCCTTATCCACTAATTGTTGCAGTTGTTTTGTTTACAGGTATTGGTAATTTCTTTGCTATATTTTTGTTTCCGATACTTATGTATTATTTTCAGTTTGGTGTGACTGGAGCAGCCATTTCCACTGTTATCTCTCAGTATGTATTTTCTGTATTTATTCTATTTTAAAATTTTCTTCCGCTTCACTGAAGAATGATGGTGCTAGATTTTCTTTGTTTCAGATATATTGTTACCTTCTTAATGATTTGGCATCTTAATAAGAGGGTTGTGTTATTGCCTCCAAAGTTGAGAGATCTGCAATTTGGAGGTTATATAAAATCTGGTGAGTGTTTGATTTTATTTTTAAGATAATGCTGGTGTGACTAAAATCTATTGGCATGCATATGAAATGCGATTTATGCTGTGGCATTTTATTGTAGTTCTGTTCTGTGAGTACAGAATTTTGATATCAATATTACACTGGATCAGGACCATAAATCCTGTTTAAGGCTGATTAGTTATAGCAGTTCATCCTGCAGCAGAGCACTGGGACACTATTTTGTTGCATGTGGGAGCTAACCTTTCTAATGTGTCTAGTGCTGGAAGGCATACTCAAATGGAGTTGATAAGTTCGTATATCTTTGCTTGTTGCTTCCTAAGGAGCTGGTATTGTACCCAAAATCCTTGAAGTTCTCATAAGCATTGTACATTAATGTCCTAGTGGTGCTGCTTCGAATCACGAAAACAACCTCTAAAAAATAGCGGCTAGGTTATGTACATTTTGCCCTTCCCAGACCCCGCTTTAGTGGGATCCTCATCATTGGGTCAACCTCTTTTGAGTTAAATATGTTGGTAAATTAGCTTTGATGGAGGACAAAGAATATACTTATCTGTTGTCCATGAGTTGCTATAATTTATTCCTTGTAAGAATGTTCCTTGGTTATAAGACAATTATCCAAAGCTGAAGAAATTCCTAAATTGTTGGATTGGTGATTTGTTTTGTATGGATGGTAGTTATTCTCAACCTCATGATTTATTAGTGCTGTCTATGGAAAACACTTGTGCTGTGCAGGCAATACTAATCACTCCAAGTGCTGCCATGTAATTTTATACCTTATTTAGTAGCAGTGTAATGGGACCTTAAAGAGTCTCAATTATAGGATCAAGTTTAATAAGAGTGCCCCTTTATTTGCTCCATATGCAACATACTAATGGTCAAGTTCTGGTTGACTTATTTTTGCGTTGAAAATTTGAACACAATTGTCAATTTGTGCCTCATTGGTTCTTATTTTTCAATATTTAAAATGACACGACACAAACTCAAAATCATTGGATTTCATACATTAACTAGTTTTTTTTCCCCCACCCTTTGTGGTCCTGTTCTTTCTAGAATCCTAGATTGTGATGTTTTTTGCACATTCTTCACTCCTCTAGGTGGTTTTCTTATCGGGAGAACTCTTGCTGTTCTTGTGACTATGACACTGGGGACATCAATGGCTGCTCGTCAAGGAACGGTAGCTATGGCTGCTCATCAAATATGCTTACAAGTATGGCTGGCTGTATCTCTCCTTACAGATGCACTGGCAGCATCTGGTCAGGTACAAAATTCTGTTTGTAAAGAAATTTTGTTAAATTGTTATATGCTCTCTCAATACATATCTAGAATCTTTGGACTATCATTTTCCCATTAAAAGTCATATTATCTGAGTTGGGATAGAACTTTACTTGTTGACGCTGATTCCACTCAATACTGTCAGAATTGTCACTAGGAAAAACAAAAAAAACTATGCATCTAAGCTTGGCAACCCACTTCAATACTCCCATCTCATTTGAGCCAGTGTGCATACAGAGTTTAGTTTGTGCTTTTCCTCTGATATCAGAATTCTGTTTCTTGTAGGCGTTGATTGCAAGTTCTTATTCAAAAGGTGATTACAGAACTTCAAGGGAGGTTGCAAACTTTGTGTTAAAGGTTAGTCATTGTTGTATGCCTTTTTCATTATGCTTCAGCATTCTTCTACTTAGAACCAAATGGATTTTAGCTTTACTTGGCGTCTGGTTTTTTGGCCTTCTGTGTTGGAATTGCATTTCTTTCTGATATTGGTTCAAATCTTATTCACATGTTTTTGCAGATAGGATTGCTCACAGGGGTTTCCTTGGCTGCAATTTTGGGTCTATCTTTTGGTTCTTTAGCCACCTTGTTCACCAAGGATGCTGAAGTCTTGGGAGTTGTTAGAACTGGGGTATTGGTATGTTTGCCTTCCATGTCATCCTATCTCTCAACTTTTGTTAGTTTATCTGAATGGAGAAGTGATAAGATCTTTCTTGTGTTGTTTCCTGAAATTGTTACAGTTTGTCAGTGCCAGCCAACCTATAAATGCTCTAGCTTTCATTTTTGATGGTCTCCATTATGGTGTTTCAGACTTCCCATATGCAGCTTGTTCGATGGTAAGCTTCTATAGTTAAATTTCTCCGAGATGCTATTAGCTGGCTGTCAAGATTGTACAATGCCTCTGTTAACATTTTTAAGTAAATTACAGATGGTGGTAGGGGCAATATCTTCTGCATTTCTGCTATATGTTCCTTCAATTTTTGGTCTTCATGGTGTGTGGTCAGGCTTGGCTTTGTTTATGGGGCTGCGTACGTTGGCAGGATTTATCAGGTAAACTATAGGACAATTGTAAAGCATAAAGCAAAGTAATCAAAGTTTCTTACTGCTTTCTCAGAATTTATCAGGATTTGCCTAATTGTATATAAATTTAATTTTTATATAAGATATATGTAAAACACAAAATAATTGTTAAGCATGCTCAAGTTTCTGTTACTGCTTTCTAGTTTAATTTTGATGATAATGTTATTGAAGAGCTTTATGCATGCGAGAGATTGTTAGACTAATTAGAAACTCTCCTTCGTGAATTAAAAGTAATCAAAGTCCTAAAAAGTTGTGTGTTTTATAGTTCTTGATATTGGAAGTTTTGTAGGTACTCTAATATTGTGCACCTTTTCTTACATTTTCACTAGGACAGTATATATTTCTTGGTCCTCTCTATTCTTTCTTTAATTTTTTTCCCTTATAGATATTGATGGTTATTCCACTTATATTTTCAGAATATCATCGAAAAATGGTCCATGGTGGTTTTTGCATAAGGACTTGAAGGGATCTGAGGTTGGTGGTTTTTTGTTCTTTGATTCCTAATTCCTAATTGTGTAGTAATACATAAGGGCCTGACTGTAATAAGTTTGTCTGTTTTCTCCATTGCTAGGAGTAGCATTGGTTTCTCTTTATTCCATTAGTTGAAGCAATAAGCTTTTTTTATTTTTTTCTCCCCTTTTTTTGCTTGTTCTGGTGCCATTGTCACTGATATACTAATTTTTGCTCAGCATGTAGGCAAAAAATCTTTCTTTTACTCCCTTAAAATCCACAATGCATTGAGACGTTTCTGCATTTTGATGCATTATATTACAAAAAAGACTTTCCTGACATAAATGTGTCCATATACTGACATTCTTAATTATAAATAATATTTCTTTTATCTTACTTGCATTACCACTTTTTCAAGACACTTTGAGCTTATGATGCTCCAATGATTGCTGCTCTCGCACTAATGGTCCCTCTCCCAATGCTCAATAGCTAAATACATGGCAATTGAATCACGAGCATCTTTCTTTCTACAATCTGGTAATCCAGGTTATACTATTACAAACAGTGGACAAATTTACATTTTGTATTTTCAACTGAATTATGTTTGATATATATATATATATATATATTGCGGTAATTAGTGTCTTGTCAGTTTCACCTTCTTTTGAGTGCTGAATTTGTTTGCAAATATTAGTTTCCAGTTGTGTAATACATTGCATCAATTTACAGCTTGTTGCTTGAGATGGGAGTAATCAGAAATCAGGAATCTATTGCTTGTCATCAGCCACTAGTACGACTTGTTGTCCCTGGTTTCTGTCTAAATGGTGAGTAAATGCAATTTGATGATTTAATCCTGTGGGCTGATTCCCAAATTTTGGTTTCAAATGTTACAGTGAGAATACTTTTATCAGAACCTTGGTAATCTACAATGAGAATACTTCTTCAAATGTCAACTTTCTCTCTCTCTTTCTCTCTCTCTTTAACACCAGAAAGTGAAACCACATCTATGGTAGTAGCATCACTAATGCTTATTGCTTGCTCTTTTATTTTGTGTTTTTAAAACTCATAATTGATGGAACTATTACAAAAGCGCGCACAACATTATCTGATCATTCTTTGGATGAACAGTAAATAATGCAATGCTTTCATAAACATCAGTTACGAAAATTGTTTCTTTATTTCTCAAGAGATGCAACCGAAAGAAAGTGTCGGTTCAGTTTGGATGTGGGGATTTTGCAAATCCAGCTCTGTCCATGGTTGTTTGGATTCTTGTTTGTTTACTAGGAACAGAATTTCCAGTTCTCCCAACTTTATTCAAACATAGCTGTTGGTAGTTGGTAACATCTCATCACAATGTTAATGTAATCTTTGCTACTGACATTAGCACATCAACACCTTTTTTAACACACCTTGATCTCTAAGGTTGAGCATAATCCGCAGGGCCGTAAGGCTCAAACAACTCGGCTATGAATCCCTTCTTTCTCTTTGGGTTCCATCCCATGTCCTTGCAGAGTTGATCATTGTACCATATATGAAGGGCACCAATGCAAGATCTCCGGTAGTACTTGTCAGAGTATTGCTTCATGTATTTATCCCATTCCACTATATCTTTTTCCATCTCTTTAATGCTGGGTAGCTTGAATGTTCCATCGAGAAGCTCTGCTAGCCATCGGCACCTTATCTCTGAAGTATACAGGTTTGCTACACTCTCTGAGAATCCAATTATTGCTAGCTGTGGAATTCGGGGATGAATGCATTCCCTTGTAAAACAAAAGTTTGTGTTAATAATATGATGCCCTTGTGGCCTAGCATGTAGCACCACTGAGAGGAGGTGAAATTTGCTAACATAACTGTGATATGAACCTCTATGTAACGTTTATGAGTGCTGTTATTTGTTCAAACCTTTTTCCTTTGGACCCCTACCTAAAAAATGAAATTCTTGTAAAATCTTTGGATCCCCTCCGTCAATACTAAAACTTATGTCAATCCCTAACCTTATTCCCACCCCAACCACCAACCACCCTTGCGCCCTTCCCCATCGCGAGGCCTTCCCCACCCATTTGCAGCACCCCAGTCCCTATACCCACCATTGAAACCTTTGACCAGTCTCTCTCCCTCTTCCCTAGAGTGTCATTTGGACAACCAATGCCAACCCATGATTGGTGTTCAGTTCTTTGCTGGACGGGGTTTGTGCGATCTGAGCACTCTTCTTCCCACCCCAAGCCTTGTTCTTAAGCTGTCTCTCCTTGGTTGTGATCTGAAATCCTAAATTCCAGGGGGGTTATGCTGCAAGGGGAATGGGAAAGGTTGGGAGGGAGCGGTGGAGCTGGGGAGAGGGAAGAGGGGTCGTGGTACAGGGGTGGAGCTGGGGAGAGTAAACGACGGAGTAGGGAGAAATTTTAGAGTGTCCTTTGTAGTAGTTTTGCTTAGGGGAAGTATTGTATTTAAAAAAATTGTTAAATTGTGGGGTCCAACGAAAATATGTGAGCACTCAATGTAGATATGTCAATCTTTATATGCATGAAAATTCAATATGCAGTATGCAATATATGTGGAGCTCTACAGATTGATGTATGATGTTAGAAGCTAACCTGTAGAGTGGTACTGTTTTATCAGTCGACCCGGCAACACATTCCTGAAAGTTTGGGGACACAAAAATGTCTTTGAGCTTTTCAACACCTTTGAACCCAGTAGCCAATATAACCATATCTGTCTCTACAGCTTCAGTCTCACCATCAACCAAAATGCCGCCTTTGCAAAAGCCGAAACTCAAAGCTTTCTTCAACCTGATGCTTCCTTTCTCAACCCTATTGTAGAAGTCCTCGGGCACCAATGAGATCAAACAAGTGCTGAGTTCTTGTAAGAAACTGTGTTTTGGGACCATATCAAACTGAGCAAGATGAAGCTTGTGTTGTATATGAGTTTCCACGAATTTCGAAAATGCCCATCTCTGTCATTTAAATAGGTTCAATTTTTAGAGAATTGAATTTACTATCTGGGAACTGTGAATTAGGGGGGAGAGAGAGAGAGAGAGAGAGGGAGAGAGATTACTAGAGGTGAGAGCAATGTTGCGAGGAGACTGAGGAGAAGGCCTTCGCTGGGCTTGTGAATGGATAGCTCGGAGAGGCGAGTAAGGTAAAGATATGCTATGTGAATTCCCCATGGCTCGTAATCAGGGAGGTTCCAGTGTTCAGTCCTGTATATCACTGTACACGGATGATCTACCCCTGTGAGCCAACCCAACAACAACAAAAAATTAATCAAAACATGGATATTAAACACAACCTTGCAAACGAATATGATGTTATGAAATTGTACAAAGTAGGTGTGTGAAATTGACTGTGTTGTGCACTAAGACCTAGACCGCAGGATCGGCAGTAGGCTAAGTTTGGTGGGGTAGGCAGGCCAGGCTCGGTACCAAAACTTTATGTCCAAGGCTTACCTAGTGGGCTTTGCCCAAACAAGTTTATGGGCTGGGCTGCGGGCTAATTCTAACATGCTGAGATTGAGGCATACTTCTTGGGGGTTTTGTTTAATTTAATTTTCTATCTTTTGTTATTTTTTGTTCGGCTGGTGGGCAGGGCCAGTGGTCTTCCTCTCACTGGCCAATGAGTCGAGCTAGGCCTCAACACCAAAACCCAGATCCAACCCAAGCCTTATTCAGGCTAGCTCGACCGCCCAGAGGTACAAATCTTGATTGGGTAAAAGCCCCGTGGACTGAGACACAGATCTTCCTATTGAATGATGACTCTTATTGTGCACAATGAAAAAGGGATGCAAAACGAGACAATCTGAAAATCTTCAGGTGTTGAGAATTCTCACCATTTGCTGTGGAGCACTCCATGGCAATGTCAAGTGCTGATTTCTGGAGGCCAACGACAGCGACACGCTTTCCTTGGACCAGTTCTTTAGCTTGAGGGTGATCCATGGAAGCATAGTCCATGGAGTGTAGGACCTGGCCTTGAAACACTTGAGGGTCCTTACCTGGAGGGAATTCTGGGATGTTTGGAACCCCACTGAACCTTCCCACGCTAAGGATCACAAAGTCTACTTGATAAACCTGTTCCAGGTTATATCTCACCATCAGAGAACATTGAGAAAACACACAAGATTAACATGTTTTTGGAGAAAACAAAATTTTTACAAGAAATGAATATGTTTTTTTATTTTTATGTTTGGATAAGTAAGAAAGTAAAGCACGTGAGAGTGATATGAGTGAAATTTTTTATTCCTTTGTATTTTAAGGGACAATGTTGGCATTATTTTATAACCAATCAAATTGTTTCTCATGAAATTTTATCAGTTTTACTGAGAAATGAAATATGTTTTAATAAAAAAGTTCTCTAGCTAACAACTTTTAATCATTTCTCACTATTTTCATTCATATATATACCAAAGATGAGACAAATTTTCTATCTACCTATTTTTTATCATTTCCCATCAAATCACCACATTCAAAAACAGAGTCTAAAGCATTTTCCTTTTCCTAAAGCATAGACTGCACTATAAACCAACTGCCCCTACTGGCTCATAAATTCATAATGATTCAATTGCAACACCTGTTTACTTTTTAAGTTAGTTTGTTTTTGATGAAAAACATTTTTAATAAAAAATATTTTTTATGCTTAGCTGCGTCTTTAAAATTAATGTAATAACAGTTATGTTAGCGGGGGTGGTCTAGGTGGTTGGGGTGACAATGTAGAGATGGAAGTAGAGGCGGCTGTGGCGGCGACAGCGGTAACGGTGATGGTAGAGGTAGTGGTGGTGGTGTGGTGATTATAGTGATGTGACAGTGATAGTCGTAGTGTAGTGACATTAGTTAATTTTAAGTTTCATCTGGTAATTAATTTTTTTGTATTGAGACTTTTTTAACCTGATTTTTTTACCTTCGTTTGATTTTTGTTTTAAGATTTTTTTGACTTTTGTAAAAGAAAAAGTATAATAATTATGATTTACATGTGATATTTTGTCTTATTGATTTATATAGCCTACTTTATCTTTTTATGTTTTTTTAGCCCCAAAATATTTATCAAACGAAGACTTAGTCTTGAAAACATTTCCACCTCCACACCAACCTCTTCAAATTTTTAGTCAAATTAAAGCTATTTTGTTATTTTAGCTAGTTACCTTACTACATCAAACTCTCTATTCTAACTTATTCTTATTAAATATTATTTTCTTATTGTGTTTGTTAGTCTTTCTGTTTTTTGTTAAATTGATAAGTTTACAAATCAAACAATTCTTCAAAAAAACAACAAAAAAAAAAAATTTATCGTTAACCGGTTGATCGGCCGGACATCCGGTAACACACAAGTAGCGATGAACAATGTCTCGCTTGTTGTAATGAGTTATTGTAACCATTGCAAATTTTGACAAGCTGAAAGCGAGTTTGATGAAGTTAATTTTTTGAAATTTATTAGTTAAAAAATAATTTTAAAGAGCTAAATGAGGATGCTCTTATAAGATTGTTTTTGTTTTTGGTTATACAAAACACTAAAATTTATTAGAAACTGGAACGTTAGCGGAGACAATTTTCAATATGTGATTTTATTATTATTATTAGGGCCTTACTAATTGCCGCCCTATGAATGTTGATTAAGGAGTGTTTTAAGAAGACGGTTAAAAGTTGATTTTTGACTTTTAATCAGATATTTAGCCTTTTTGAAAAAGTGATTTGAAAAGTTAATAAAAAATTACTTTTGAATTTTTTAATTAATATTTATTTATAATGTCACATCACAATAAAATAATTAAATTACCTCCATCCAATGGAAAAAAATTATATTTTCACTCATGTAAATATAAAAAAAAAACATAAAAGATATAATTATAATTTTATATGTAGCTTTTGAACTTGCCAAATGACTTCTTATTAAAAAATGCCAACCTAATTTTTTTAACAAACAAATTACAAACTTAACTTTTTATTAAGTTGTTAAGAGGGCACTAAGACTAAGTTTGGGAAGACTAAATAAGTTCACATTTTTTATCTTTTTATCTTATTTGGGTCACATCAATCAATATTTCTTCTCTACTTTTTTATACATCTTTTTATAAAAAGTCAAAAAATATAATTATTTAAAACATCCCAAATAATCCCTAAGGTTCATTTTAGTAACAAGTTACAAAAGTTAATTTTTTAACCAACAATGATTCATCCCACTAAAAATATTACCACTAATAGCACTAATGCGTTAAAAAAATAAAAAAAAATACAACTCCAAGACCAAAATATCACATCATTAATGGCGGGACCCACTGCCACTTAATTAGTGGGAGCACTAATTAATGTTCCCAAACATTTTTCTTTTTTAACCAAAAAAAATAATTTTTTTAGCCAAAAGAAATCAATTTTTTGTCAAAAAAAAATCATTAAAAAAATCAAAAAAACTAAAAAGTTAACTTTTTTTCAAACTTCTTAAAACATCATCCTGTGGTTAAGATTAGAAAAATGGTTGAGAGCTCTAGGAAATGAGCTCTAAACCAAGTACTAGTGACATGGAATTGTGTGAGGCCCAATTTTGATGTGATGTTTTAGTTTGAAATTTTTTTTTTTTTTTTTGGGGGTAGGGGGCATGCCAGCTCAGTAGAGCTCTTTTTAGAGCTCTACTTTTATAGCTCTGTATAGCATTGTTGTTAAGGTTATAATCTGACTACATCAATGATAGACTTATGATTTGATAGTTGTCTTCCCTATGTATTTGTTAAATCTTTACTGGTAAAGTTTTATTTATTTTTTACTTTAATATTGTACGGGGGGAATTTGTTTTAAGAACAGCATTCTTGCTTAGAGTTTTTCAAAAAAAAAATTTCAGAAAATTTTATTTTTTTATTTTTCTTATGTTTCTATTTTTTTTGAATTTTTTTAATATTTTAAGTAATTTTTTTTATTTTTTAGATATACCTAATATAAATATACTTAAAAGGTAAAAAAATTTGTTAAAAAACCTTGTAAAAATTCACAAAATACCAAAAATATTAAAAAAATACAAGAATTAAGTATATTTTTTATATTTTTATGTATTTATTAATTTTTTTAAATATTTTTTCACAAATTTTTTACTTTTTAGATACATCTAAGTAAGGTTCACCTAAAAAACTAAAAAAAATGTCTTAAATTTTAAAAATATTCACTAAAAACAAAAAAATAAGAAAATTAAAAAATTTAATTTTCAAAAAACTTAATCTAAAGAACTCAAACCAAACACACTTAATAAGACATAAAAAAAATTAATAAAATTTTTTAATTAATTTTTAAAATTTTTAAATTTTAATTAATTTTTTAAATTTTTTAAATTTTTAATTAATTTTTAAATTTTAATTAATTTTTTAAATTTTTATGGAAAGACATAAAAAAAAATTGACTTTTCATATCAATTTTTTTAACTTTTTGACAAATGTTGCCTTTAGTATTATTATTAATTTGATTAGTTTAGTGGATACAACTTTGAGTAGATGTTGATGGCATAACTCATGTGCTCATGTCATCTATCCTATCTTCATCGGAATCATCTCAATGAAATCGAGGAGAGTGAAAAATTGATGTGTCGGTCGGCAAAATATTAGGGGTGGTTTGGAATGACCTAAATAAGTATATTTTTTGTTTTTTTATAAAAAAATGTGTAGAAAAATAAAGAAGTGATGTGATAGAAAAAAATAAAAAAATGAATTATTTTAAGGTTGTCAAACTTGGCCTAAATTGATCGCCTAATTATATGATTAAATTAAAATTTTGTTAATGTGAACTAAGAGCACGTTGGGGAAGTAAGTTGATTTTTTAATTTTTTTAATTTTTTTGATTATTAGTAAGTTGATTTTTTAGTTTTTTTAATTTTTTTTGATTATTTTAACCTTGGTTAAAAAACTTATGTGGAAAGGATTTTTGACTTTTTTTAATTTTTTTATGAGAGAATGAATGTAATGATTATGAATTAGATATGATATTTTATCTAATTAAGCTAAAAAATTTATTTTATTTTTTATGATTATTTTAACTAAAAAAACCTCACAACCAACCTCCCAAACAGAGGCTAAATCAAACTCGAGATGAGCTCCCCCACTGGCACAGCACCCCTGAATCTTCATGTCCGTAAAATATGAGGTAGTCAAATGTGTTAAAAAATGTGATCAAGAATGGCATTTAATTACATTTATTCACATGTTGCATGTTGGAGGGCTGATATATATATATATATATATTTCTTATTTATTTATGTTATTGGGATACATATTATTTGTATCAAGTACCTTTTTAATATTTTTATAAAAAAAATAAAGATCTTATCTTGTATATTAATATAAACAATGATACGAAATAATAATAATAATTAATTACTCTTTTATATGTTATCATTTAGGCCTCGTTTGGAAAGCATTCCATTTAGTCAAAAAGTCACTAAAAAAATCAAAAAGCCAACAATCCATACCAAAATCAAAAATTCTCTTTTCTTTCTACTTTTTACACATCTTTTCGTAAAAAGCCAAAAAATCATTCTAAACATACTATTTTTTTTAAACTCATATTTTAGTCAAATAGTCAAAAAATTACTAAATTAGTCTGTTCCCAAATGAAGCTTTAGTGGGTCCTATGTCATGTTTGATTGTTAGATTACAAGTATAGTAAGATTGAGGGATAAAATTACTTAGAATGATAATATTAGGTGACAGATTAAATTTATAATATTACATCAAAGTTATTATTATACGACAGGTAACTTCATTATTTTTATAAAAATAATAATGTACTTTCACCTCAAATCTCATGGAATTGAATTATATGTCTCACTTTTCTTAGGCTAATCTTTTAGGAAAATTAACAATCCTATGCGATTATTAATCACATGCATTTTTTTTTTTTCCAACCAAACAAGATTTAGATGTTATTTATCCAATCCCACTCTAGAGAGAGCAAACATGGGCTTTGAAAAAGAGAACAACCTACAAAAGCAGTTCCAAAAAAAAAAAAAAAAAACTACAAAAGAGTCCTTCATGAGATAAGATAAGATACAGTCAATTACGGTGGGAGTGGGGGGTGACTCGGAGCTACATGGCTACATATCAATCAACCATTAAAAACCGATCGTCCTATACCTATCATACCTTTAACCCGTGATTGTGATTCTAAATAGGGTTAGATAGAATTATGATTACGACAAGATTGTGTAATGAAATTATTAATTAAAGATATAAGATAAATGCTTTTGTTTGCTTATATGATAATCGTGATAAAATATATGAAATTACATTGCATAGAAATAAAAATAAAAAACTTTACTTTTGTAAATTGAAAGGTAAAATAATTTGTTCACTCTTAATTCCATGAGAATGTTAATCTCCACTCTTAGAAAGAATTGGTAGTCTCATGACATTTTATCACAAATTTTGATGAGCCCTATGTATTATTAAACCAATCCCATAATGATAGAATTTTAGATTTGTGAGGGAAAAAAAGAAAGATTTCTAAAGGAAAATAAGTGAAGAATTTGAATAATAAAAGTTAAAAAATGATTTCTCTCCAAACTATTGGAGAGAATAACTCCACAATGTATAAATTTTGTCATTTTTTTAATGAAAAGTTTAGATTTTATTTTATTTGTAAATCAAGTGATTTTTTTCCTTCCTTCACTAAAAAGATCATATATATATTCTATGATGAAGTACCATAATAATAGCCACAAATAATCAAGATCATGATCTGAGTTATAGTTATATTCAGTTTTGTGATCGGTTTGTACGTTTAAAAAGCTTTTCATACCTGAGTGGAAAGGCTTTGGCTTTGGCTTTGGCTTTGGCTTTGTCTTTGGGTGTGGTGGACTGTAATGTTCCATTTTCCTCTGGATCCAAAGGGCTCACCAGTCCCACCCCAAAGAGCCCATGCTTCCATCTCCTCATCCGAAGGGCCTTCATAGCGAATACTGACCACTCTTGAGTCGAATCTGATGTGTTTGAGCAAATCAAAATGGCGAGCGTAGGACTGGAGGTATTCGAACACTTGGCGTTGATCGGGAAAGACTTGTGTGACTGAGGATGGCCATGGAAAGTCGGAGAATTGGTAGAGAGGTTTGGGAGTCTGGAGTTTAGTGGTTTCGAATGTTTTGGTCCAAACACCGCCGATGGTGCTCTGTTCTTCGAAGACGATTGGAAGGTAGCCTTTGGAGAGAGTGTACTTGCAGGCTAGGAGGCCGCTGATGCCGCCTCCAATAATAGCCACGTCCCTCTTCGCCATGGCTGCACTGCAGCTCTGCTCGCCTAAATAGATTAGAGACACTTCCTCCCTCGACCACTTTAAATAGGATAACCAGAGACGCTTACTCCTCCACCGCTATCAATAAGTAATGGTAGCAATAATATTAATTTTTTAAAAATTATTTAAAAAGTTAATATTATTTATTAAAAATTAACAATTACGGTTGTATAATTTTTAATTTGAATTTTTTTTATAAATTAATTTTTACAATTTTTTATTGCATATTTTTTTATAAAAAGTCAAAAAATTAACTCAAACATCTATATTTTCAATCTCAATTTTTTAGTCTAAAAAGACAAAAAATGCACTTATTTAGAACACCCCAAACAACCCCTAAATTTGGCATGGCTTCCCTCCAGTGGACGGTATTGTTAGGTCATAAATTTTGTTTCGATAATCCAAATCGTTTGTTTAATGTGTAGAACTCGTCAAGTACTTATATGTCTGTAAAAAATTACGCTGATCGGATATCGATAATTATATGATCAAATCAATTTTGTATAAATATAAAATGGACAGTAAAAAAATAAACGATTGATAAAAATCTGATTTGATTACATAGCTATCAATATCTGATCAACGTGATTTTTTACTGTGATAACCCAAAATATTTTTTTAAATAGTCAGTGCATAAATTAATTGAGTAATATTTAGATTGAAGTGTTGTATAAAGTTATATGCAAAAATAGTTCAATTTTGTAATAAATTTTTTTTTTAAAATATAATTTTCGATCTCAGAAATTATTAAAATTTTTATTATGTTGTTCTTATAAGAGTCTACCATGTTGGACAAAAATTTTAGAAATTAATTGATGAGTATTTATTTTATAAAAAAAAAATTACAGACTGATTGGTATTCAATTTAATTTATAGCGGAATTTGAAATTGAGTTATGGGTGTTTAGACCATGATTTGAGATAATTTGTTAGATCTATTTTGGTATATAATTGGACCATGTTTGACTTATAGGTAAGACTCATGATTTAGATTTAATTTAATTTGAGCTTGTTTAGTGACTCATGTTTAACTGTTTGGTCCTTTTTAATTATTTGATTGGTAGTAACCACCTTGAAAATTGTTATTATTTATTATATAGAATTATAATAAATATTTGATAGTTGATTTTATGGTGTGTACCATGTGGTGAAAAATTGTATATTTTTATAATGAATAAAATAGATATATTTCGTAATGAGCAAAAAATTATATTTTGTGATATATAAAATATTATATTTTTTGATAAGAAAAATTATGTTATTTTATAATTTATAACATAAAATTCTAAGATATTATTGTGCCTGTTTGGCAGAATTTAAAAGCAGCTTATTTCAGCTTTCAGCTTAATTTAAGTTATTTTGATGTGTTTGGTTTAGCTTATAGCTTATAGCTTATAACTTTTTGAATGTCAGAAATCAGCTTATTCTTTAAGTGGGGCAGAAGATGCTTAATTTATAAGTCAGAAATCAGCTTATGTTCATAGTTATAAGTTATAAGCTATTTAGGCATAAGCTATAAGTACTTTTCCACAGTTCTACCAAACAGAACCATTGTAATAATTAAATTATTTTTTAAAAAAACTCATTCTTGAGAACACAACCCACGTGGGGTTGTCCCCCGCCTCTCCCTTCCTCTCATTTTTGCTTTTCATTTTGCTGAGTAGATAGCTTAGCTCTCTCTCTCTCTCTCTCTCTCTCTCTCTCTCTCTCTCTCTCCATTATTACTCAATTTTTGAGTTTTAAATGGAAGTTTTTAGAATAAGATTTTATAAAAGTATTGTAAATGAAAGTCGGAGAGTTTGTCATAATCTTTACAATGGTAATTTCGGATTCATGATCGGGTGATTTTTGCATTTTCGAATTAATTTTTCCTCATGTTTGAAGTAGGGTTTTTCTTCATATTTTTACATTAAAGTTATGTTAGAATTATTTTGATAAAATATGTCATTTTAAGAGGTATTGCATATATATATATATATATATATAATTTTCAAATTTTTGTTTAGTAATTTTTGGAAGAAAAACTATGTTGAAATGTTAAGAATGTTGGCATTTTGAGATTGATTTTGAGAAAATCATTTTGTGTTGTTAATTTTGTAAAAAAAAAATTATAAAATATAATTTAAAGATTGTATGATTGAATTTACATCATATTATAATTAGATAATTTATTTTGAGAAATATAAAGTTGATATATTTTTTTATCTTTGATATTGAAATTTATTTTTGAGAAAAATAAATTGAAATTAATATTGAGGAATATTGTGTAAATTGTTAAGTTGGGATTATAAAGTTGTTTTGGGATTAAAAACTTTGAAAGTCTTACATTCATGATATTTTATGAAAAATGATATCTTGATAATTTAGTTGTGTTCATTTTTGTGAAAATAAAAATGTGAAATGTAGGCTTTTGAACTCATAACTTTGAAAATGTTACTCTTGGGCATATTTCATAACATTTGATATAAATATCATGTTGGTTAGGTAATTTTATAAAAAAAAAAAGTTATGAAATTGTTATTGGTAGAGAATTTGGGATAAATACTACCTTTTTAAGTTGGCATGAAAAATGATTATGTTGAGATATGGTTGTGTTCGAGGGATGAGAAATTTGAGGTTAAGTTCGTGTTATTAATTTGGAAGATGGTAAATATAATGAATTTACTAATTTGATAAATTAAATTAGTTTGGTTAATATTTTCAATCCTTCGTAATTAAAGTGGTGTTATTGGGTTTTTAAGTCCTAACTTTAATATTATGAAATTAAAAGTGACGAAGTTGACCAAGTATGAGGTTTGGAGAAATAAGCGAGATTAAGTTGATGTGGTATGGTATTGGGTTCCTAGTTTTACTAGTTAAGTAATGTTATAATAATAATTTCATACTTCAAAATTTTTATGAGATATTTGAATTGTTTGGCGGTTTTTGAAAAGAAAAAAACATAATGTGATTTTAGCTCGGTTGAAGCAAATGGATGAATTAGATTAAAACAAAAATGAGTTATCAAAATTTTTATTCATTTATTATTTTTTTCCTCGGTTTAATTTGATGGGGTGGATGTTGATAATTGAAAAGTGAACACGTGTTATATTTTATAATTATAGTTAAGAGAAGATTTTGGTATAATTGATTTAAGTGTTGGGATATTCATTTATGCTTATTGAAAATTATGATTGAACTTGAATATCTCGAGATTTCACTTGTATGAGAAAATGAGAATTTGATTCTATTAAATGTTTGGAATGGGGATGAATTTTGAAAAGATTGTAATTGCTATCATTGATAAAGTATGCGAGTTAAAAATCGATGAAACCTTGAACTCATTTTGATGTCATATGTTGTTGTTAATGATTAACCTATTGTTTACAAGTTTTGATTTTGGTAACCGGTAGAGGGTTTCCATAGTGGTATTTAAATGAGATTCTTGGAAAGATAAGAATATTGTTGAATTGTCTTGAAAAGACTAAATTGGAAATTGTTGATTTACATATGGTAAATACATGAACATTGGCATTATTATATTATCTCTTGAGATTGTATTATGGTATTATATTGATAGAGATATGGAAATTGATCACAATGAAATATTGTGTGGTGCAATTGAAATTGGAACTATCTTACTGCATTGTTACATATTGCATTGTCATTCCATTTCATTGTTATCATGGATTTCGAATTATAATTGAAAACTATTGTTTTGAGAAAAGAATTGTTTTTGTGAAACAATATCATTTGGATTTGTTTTGGATAAATACATTGGTAAGTCCAGATAAGGAGTGTAGTTTGATATTGATTTAAGTTGGCCAAAGTGTCCATGGTGAAAGACTGAAAACACGCGCAAAGGAGATACCACTGCCCTTCCGGTGAGAGACCGGTAAAGTGGAGATTTGGTAGTGCTTGATATGCCTACTTGCAGACACTAGCCTAAGGATTACTAGAGTTGTATTTACTACCTTGGAATTTCATTGAAATTGTTGATTTAATGTGTTTTCAAATTGGCATTGTGCATAAGGTTTTCAAAAGATACAAAAAAAAGTATTTTAAGCATGACATGACATATGCATTCATCTCATAAGATTATATAAAATGTATTTGATGATTTCTTAGATGTCATTATGAATTTGTTTAATCATTTGATTCAATTGACAATGGGGTAATTGAATAAATTGAAAGGGATGTCTTGCAGACACCAGCCTAGGGATTACCAGAGTCGTATTTACCACCTTGGAATTTTATCGAAATTGTTGATTTAATGTGTTTTCAAATTGACATTGTGCATAAGGTTTTCAAAAGATGCAAAAAAAAGTATTTTGAGCATGACATGGCATATGCATTCATCTAATAAGATTATATAAAATGTATTTGATGATTTGTTAGATGTTGATGAGGTATCGATTCCCGGGTGGATGGGTCGGACCGGCCCAGGCTCTTCAGGCTCCGGCTCAAGAGGGAGACTCCGTCAGATGACCTGCATGCAAGTTCAGGGGGGAACGGGGTAGTCCCCCAGTGAACCCTCCGGTGCAAGAATTAGTAGAGCAGAGTATGAAAAAACTGTATATCGAGAGATCAAGAGAGAGATAACTTCACCTTTTTCTTTCCTCTTATCCTTGCTTATATCCTTTTGTCATCATTTTTCCTGTCTCCTGTGACGTGCTTTTTTCGCCGAAAGCCTGTGCCATAGCTCATCTTGTTTAGGGTGATGGAGGCTCTGTTCCGGCGGGGAGTGCTGTTGTAATAAATGCTGTGATGGGTTGCATTAATGGTGATGTGTTGTGATAATAACTCTGCAGATCTTTGTCTGCTGATGTGGCCCGTGTCCCACCTACCGTGTGCCTAAATGCCGTTGGCCCTTCATGTCTAGGTGGCCTCCAGCTGTTCTGGGCCTTGTCAACTGGGTTGTGCCATTGGCCCCAAGCGATGGGTTCGGGGTGGTTTGCCGTGGGCCGTATGCCTTGTGGGCCTATCCATGTCAGATGTCATTATGAATTTGTTTAATCATTAGATTCTATTGACAATGGGATAATTGAATAAATTGAAAATGATGTCTTGTTGCTATTTAAGTATGTTTATTTATTTAAGTTAAT